TAATATTATTGGTTTAGACGACTTCTCAACTGAGAGGGTATAATTCAACCCTGCAGTGCTGAAGATAGTTATAACCAATAATTATTAATGAATCAGTGCTCAAAATAATTATAGTGTTTACTTACTATTCGTTGCTTAAGTGACGAGGATGGCTTCCTTCCTTCCTTCCTTCCTTCTTTCCTTCCTTCCTTCTTTCCTTCTAGTAGTTGGTAGAGGCTCGATGTATCATTTATGTCGTGCGTTTAATTCGTCGCGTTGTTTATTTAATTTAATTCGCTTATTTGAGGATAGGTAGTTGAATGATAACACTGATTTTAAACTTAATTAAAGAATATAATTATATATTTAATTGTACAAAACTTCTTACGATTAACTTCTTTTTTTTATTAAGAAATAGTAAGTTCCGGATTTATACGGGAATGTGACGCACGGCGGACGCGCGGAGAGAAATGATTTCGCAAAGTTGTCAGGCTTAAACTCGGTATACGAGGTATACTCGGAATAAGCTGACGATTCACTCTCTAACTCTGACGTTCAAAATCTCCGATCATATTCTCCAACTTCTGATCATATTCTCCGATGCTCGCTCGAATGGAGCGTCTTATATAGGTGAGGGATGTCCCCCACTAGTTTGCTGTGGTTCCTTTGTCCGTTGTCGTGACGTCATAGAGCGGGGGTACGCTGGATACTGAGTAGCCAGTGTAGCTACTGCCGAGTCCGTGACGAATTTGCCGGCGCCGCTCTGGCGGTGGAACGGCGGAGCTTCATTAGCCTCATTGGCCTCAGGGATCACGTTCTCTTGGTTTCTTATCGTACTTATTCTATTATAGCTTATCGCATAGTGCTTCTATTACAGTTGTAGCGTCGTTTTATCGGGTTCGTGGAATTTATCTTATCATGTGGTAGCTTTATTATTGTTCTTAAAATTTACCTTATCGTATAACATTCGTTTATTTCTATCTTATCGCATGGTGCTATATTACGGTTCTTAGAATTTATCTTATCTTACCCATGGTTTATTTCCGTTCTTAGAATTCGTCTTATCTTATCGAGAGGTTTATTTCTTATCTTATCAAGTGGTTTATTTCCTTTGCGCAAGAGGTAGCGTTTTATCGAAATATGAAATAGGAAACAAGAGTCATTACAAAGATTACAATTTCCTGTTGTGAAAGACTTGGCGTTCGGGTGATGATAACATTATTTATTGTTAAGTTCTATCTTATCTGTTATTCGAGAACGTTCTAGAACGTTATTCCAGGATGTTAGTGATTACAATAGAGGCTCTTGTTCATGCATATCTTATCGTTTTTCCGTCGTACTGACGAGGGTCGCTCGGTATCGGGTTGCGTTTATCTCGTGTTACTGGTTTAATACTTCTATTCGATTGTAACAAAGGCCGTTTCGCATATGGCGCATTGTCTTATTCTAACGATTTATTATTTCTATATGTTTACAATGGAAGCTGTTTCGCATATGGCGCATTGTCTTATTCTAACGATTTGTTATTTCTACGTGCTTACAATGAAGGCTGTTTCGCATATGGCGCATTGTCTTATTCTAACGATTTCCGGCGTAGGGCCTTGATGGTTCTATACTTGTTATTTGTTAGTCATGAAATAAGAGTTTTGAAAGGGTCTTTGTTGCTTATGTGATAAATATTTCCTGGAAGGTTAAGATGAGATATGGAGGTTGTTAAATAAAGGCATATAGTTGAGTTAGTTCGTTGGATTATTATAAAGGTAGAGTGGTTTATCGATGGAGCTGTCGTTAGGGTGTAGCCGGACATTCATTAAATATCTTTACCTTGAGTTGATTCTCTTTACCTTTTTAGTCCGTTGTCTTTGATTTGGTCGCCAGCTTGTTTTTCCTTTGTAACAAGCAAGGTAGTTTCGGAAGACTTGGGCTGCCGTGCGCCTGAATGCTCTCTGTATCGATGCCCTTCCTTCCTTCTTAATGATGTAGCCTTGATATAGTCCTTGCCTCTTTTTCGGGTTTCGGATTTCCTCAGGCAGCTACTGGACCGGCTGCACCCTTATCAGACTTCGTTGTTTTAAAATCTTATTTTAGTATCGCACCGCTCGTTTAGATTTTTGTTTTAATAGTTTTAGTTAGAGTCTCTTTGTTTAACGGTGGATAGGGTGAACGTATTAGGACTTGAGTGATTGTATAAAAAATATAATCTTTATTGAAATAACTTAACAATTCGTTCACTCAGTCTCATTCACTCTTATAATGTTTTTACCTTTACGTTCGTTTACTCAAACAGGGCTTGAGCTTTACCCTTTTTCGCGTGTCGCGTTATTTCTCGGGCAATGGCGTCGGTTTTTACGCACCGTTTTTGTCGCCGCTCTTACCGCGCTTTATCTCGCGTTTTTAGCCCCTAAATCAAATCCTTAGATCTTCACGGCCCTATTCAGACCGATCTGATCGCGAGTAATCCTTAATCGCGCTTTATTACGATATTGCGCAACGCTTTTACTATCCGCGTTTCCGATCACGTCTTTCGCGGTTCGTTGCTTGGATTCAACTACTCTCTTCTTCTTCATATTTCCCTTCCGTTGCCTTTCTTTTCCGGCTTCTTGTCGATCGGGATTGGTTTGCCCTTTCCTGGTCATCGCTGGTTATTGGGTAGCCTAACCTACCGTATCACCGATCATTTCCGCCGTTTTTTCGATTTCTGATTGGTTATAAGGTCAACGGGTATCGCTCTTTCATTCTGAGGGTCTAACCCTCTCACTCATTCACTTACTTATCCTATGATAACTTAACCTCGGTGGTTTCCTATTTTACCGATTTATCCTCTTTCTAGAAATAATAAAAATTAACGATTAAATCTTAGCTTAATATGTTTATAAGGTATATTACAACCTAAAAATTAATAAAATTATCGAACTGCCGACTTACGAAATAAATAATTATAATCGATAGGTTTCCTTTCTACCTTATCGACCTCTTTACTGCGGCTAATACTGAAATCCTTTTCAGAGTTAAAACTTTGTGTTATTTCTATCGTTTATGGGTTTACATATAATAAAATACGGCTTAAGAATAAAAATACATATATTTCTTATTTTAATAATAATTTCTTTTTTTGTTTCAGGTTTATTTCTTCTCTTCCTGGATCTGGACCTCGTTCGCCATTTCCTGGTCTTCCAAGGTGAGTATCAGTTGTTTGGTCTCCTGTTGTTATAAAATAAATTGTCTCCTGTTGTTATAAAATAAATTGTAATTGTGGCCGAATCTATTCGGTCACATACTCCTCGCTTAAAGTTGTTTAAAAATGAAATTTTTTAACGAGTTTATTAATCTTTATAATTTATTTTATCGTAGTTAACTTACGATGTCCTCTTTTATTGCGTCTTTTGAGACAAATCTCCCTGAGATTCTTGGTCTTCCCCTTGCGACTTCTGCTTTCGTCTGTTTCTTTTTCTCTAATGGTTCTTCAGATGATTCGTCGCTGGATTGTTGTTTCTTTCTTTTAGCCGGTTGATCTTGGTTTGACGTTTCCGGTACGACGTTTTCCTTTGTATAATCCTTGGATGTAGACGGTATCTCGATATTCGTTATCGTTGGCTTTATGAGATCTATTACTCGTGCCTCGGTCATTGCGTATTTCTTAAATCTTGTATCTGCGCTTGTTATTTGTTCCGCTTTCAATACACGGTTCCTTGTAATTTGTCCATTGTTGACAGTATAGTGAAGTTGGTACATCGCTGTTTCCTTTTCTTTTTCTTGCTTGAGATTTTGAATCACAAAGGTAGCGCTTACCTTGCATATGTCTTTTCCTTTGTCGTCCTGGATCTTAAATGAATCCTCTACGATTCTCCTTTTGTATGTTAAATTCTTACATGTCTCCATTATTTTTCTAATTTCCGTCTGCTGGATTGTCGTTCTGAGGTCTTTGGTGGGTTGATCCTGTGGTACTTGCCTCAGTTTTTGTAGCATAAATTTCATTTCCTTTAGTTGTCTTCTTCTTCTTAAGACTTCGAACTTTCTCTCAATTTCTACTTTCAATGCTTCCGCAACTTCTTTCTCTTCCTTTTCTAACTCCGTCAAATCGAAGTTTACGTCCGTCTCTGACGATGACATTTTTCTTCCTCTTATTATCTTTTCTTCTAGATCTCCTGCTTTTCTTACTTTATTTACGACTGTTTTCGTGGCACTGTCTGTATTTGCCTTTACGCGGTTTTCCGTCGTTGTTGATAATGTTTGGCATGAATTACGCAATTGTTGCGATGGGTAACCTTGTTTCGTTTTGGGGCTGGACTTCCATGTAACTTCCTTCTTGTTTATCTTCATCTTCAGAGTGTTTCCAGGAATGGTCTGTGTTTTCTCGCTTTGGAGATCCTTGCCATCAGTTTTATACCCTTCTTCACTCGAAAATCCTTTTTCTTCTTTGTCTGACTCATCCGTAGTATCCTTTGGATTTATAAAATAGTCCTTTAGCCTCTTTGTGCATTTTTCTGCACTTTGTCTTGTGTTTGACTTTCTTAATATTGATTTAACGTTTATTACGGCTTTTCGCTCGTTTCTGCGCCTATTTGTTAATTCAGGCAAATCTTCAATTTTCTTGACCTCTAATTGGTCTAATATATAAGTTTCATTATAATTTTCAGGTTGATGTTCCTGTTCGTATTCTTTTGATGTATCTTGCCTTTCTTTGTTTCTTTGGAGCAAATTTTCTTCTTTTTCTTTCGTTGAAGTAAGTTCGGTTTTTACCTTGCCTTGCGATTGGCTGAAAATTCTTTCTGTTATTCCATATTGATCTTGAGCGGTTTTCTCCTCGCTATGATCTTCCTTTTTAATTGGTAGGTCGCTCATCCCTATAGATTTGAAGCTGTTGTTGTCGGGTTGTTTCAATTCCCTGTCAACTTCGTTATTGTCCCTTTTTGACTTTAGGGTTGTTTTCAGAGTTCTACCTCTTTCTTCTCTCTTCCATTGACTTTCCAATAAGATCGTGTCTTCTGAATCTAAATCTGATGATATTTCTTCATCGCTATCACTTATCGTGATTAAATTTATTTGTATATTATTGACGCATTCTTCGTCTTCTGAGCTGTTTTCTCGCTCTTGATCCGGTAGGGAATGTTCATCCTCGTACCTCTCGTTATCTGAGTATTGTTCCTCTGACTCATTTTGTGAATATTGTTCTTTGTAACTTTCGGCCTCTTGTTGTGTATACTCCGTATCCTCATTGTCTTCGAAGTCCTCCTCGCTATGGCGTTCTCCGTTGTTATGCGGTCCGCCTTGGGGTTTTGTTGGATCTTCGTCGTAGTCTTCTAAATCTTCTTCAATACTCTCGAAGTTCTCCTCGCTTTGGCGTTCTTCGTCATTTTGCGTTTCGCCTTGAGGTCTTGTTGAATCTTCGTTGTCGTCTTCTAATTCTTCCTGTGTAGGCCTATACTGCGCTTCCCTATGAGGTCTTATTTGCCTCGAGTTATAAATGCCTATTTCATTAATATTCTTGAGGCTTTCACG